AAATTAGAGTTTGTAAATTTAACCTATGACTGGCATTACACGTTGATTTCTAAGTTTATACGGACACTCTTAATGAGGTTTATTAACAGCCAGTAGTTATAAACTAGTCAATTGTAGCTATTCCTCTGAAGAATATCAGTTTGTGTACTGATGAGTAAATGTACATCACGTGAACATGTGATACGATTTTTTACGCATGCGTATAATGCGTATAACGAAATTAGAGGTTACTTTTTCAAACGAACTAAAGTACAGTCACAACTTGTGACTCACAAGCCACAATAGAAGGAATAAGAAATTAGGAATAAGGAGTAAAGATTTCAATCTATCAGATATCGGATACACCGGAATACGGTTTCTGATAGATTGGAACCATTATTCCTTATTCCTAATTCCTTATTTCTTCAATTGTGGCCGCACCATAACAGTCTAATATATATAGAAGTCTGTGGATAAAACCGTGACACAGTTTGCCTTTTATTACATTAGGATGTCGATATTATTAACTTGGAAATGACTCTCAATGGATTTTCTTATTTTAGAATGTTGTAACTAACACCCTAAAAAATAAAAAAAGTTCATCATCATTCGCGGCCTTATAAAAAATAATTAAACACTAGTCAATTTTTGAAATTTGAAACCATCCTATCTAGCGAACACAAGTTACATGTAACGTACCTGTTAGTTGTAATTTCCTACTTATATAACTGTAATATAATACACGTGTTATATTACAGTTATATTGTTGAATGGGAATCTCCATAAATATACTCTTGAATTTCTGACGTTCTCTATTTATTGTGAATATATTTCAATAATCTATATATATTATATATTTATATGATAGATATGTACTTAGATATATTACATCTATTATATATTTAATTAATAATATAGTTTTAATTTATCATCATGATATATTATAAATTATGCTATATATCTATGTGAAATTTACGTTTTCTTTTAACTCTAATCGAAAATAAGTTTGTTTACAATATGTAAAGTATGTTACGATATTGCCCAAGTCGTAAAATCCTTCATATTAGTGAATACGTGTCACTTAATTTCATACAAGCATAATTTTATAAACCTATCTGATGATGAAGGACGTATCCAGTTGCTAAAACGCCGGGCGAATCGGCTCGTATAGACGGGTTATATGATAAAAATGATGAGAGTCTAGAAAGTGACGGAGCCATAAAACGGTACAGAGTTTCTTGAGTCTCTCAAGGATAGCAGGCATATGCGTATCAAGTGGCATAAATGCTAGTTTCAAATCTATTTACGCAACTTTATTACCGTGCATATATAGTGCACCCCATCAGCATAAATAAAGGAACAAGTTATTACGTAGACTCCAGCAAGTCGCATTACCGTCGAGAGAACTGCATAACATAAATGAAAAATAAGTATGTTCTAACAGCTCACAAATTTGATGAACATTCCACGAACGCTAATTAGCATGACATATATGCCACAGATAAATATTTATATAGTAATATTTAAATTTTGAAATATATAAATTATATATAATAATGAATTTTAATTTCACGAAGGCTAATTAGCACGACACCATACACGAATATTTACAATATATGAATTTTTAAATATGTAAATTTTAGTAACGAATTTTAATTTCCATGTTTATCTCAAATAATGGTAGATTTCATAATCATAAAGAAAGTAAAATGAGTAATACGAATAAAGTTTGCACAATCAAAATAATATACCAGATTCCATTTTTTGTTAAGAATTTTTTCGTTATCTCCTTTTTAACAATTATTCTTTTTTTTTACAACTTATACCTTTTATACCTGAAATATCTTTATGTTTCGTCTGACATTCTATTAAAGTTTATTAAAAATATTAAATGTTATTACGTAGACTTTTTAGCAAGTTTTACTACCAACGAGAGATCTGTATGATATGAATAAAAGATAAGTGTTTTAACAGCACACAAATTTAGTGAAAATTTCACGAATGCTAATTAGCACAACACATCATAAATGAATATTTATAATATAAATATATATATATTTTTAAGTATATAAATCTCTTATAATTAGGGGAGTATATATCTTTATGCTTTATTTTCTCGAACTGTGATATAAAGTTTATTAAAAATTAAATAAGGAGAACTACTTCGTTCGATTTCACTTTATACTTTATGATACTCCGAGTTCTGAATGATATAAACGAAGAATGGTACAATTTCTACATTTCTTGCATAACAATCTCCACATTATTCCTGATAAATGAAAGGTGGAATTCCTAATTATCTGGGGAAGCAAATCTCGCGCCCATAGCTTCGATCGCTACGTCAGTTTCGAAAAAAAAACCATGACACGAGATTTTACCGACAAAAGCGAAGGCCGGCGATTCCGCGCGAGCGAGTTTGCTGTTTCTTCGGCGAGGCGTATGACGCTTCCTCCGATACTTCGGTTCGACGATGTTCTCGCGCAGGTCGATAGTGCACCTGTACACGTCGACCAAGAGATAAATTTCGTACGACTCGGGGCGGAAGTGTTCTTGCTTCGGTTCAAGTAGTGAATTATCTTTAATCCTTAGTAGGCATACACGATTAGATCATTCGTGTCCTATACTGTTAAATATCAGAGGATCGAGCATAAATAATCCTTTGTTGATTTAAAATAATATTTTGTTATTTTTAACTTCCTTATATGTCAAAATGTAAATTAATCCATTTCTGTAATTAATTTTAAAGTAAACAATGTTATATCTAACGTATGTGCATTCTCTAAAACTTTTAGAGTAAACCTCACGCTTTTTCAAGACTGACTCAATTTTCACACTTTTTAGAGTAAGATTCCACTTCAAAGAGTTTAGAGAGTAAGTAATAAATTAGATTTGAGTCTCAAATTTAATACATTTTCTTGAGTTACATCGTTTAATTATATTATTTTAATTAAATTAACGCCGTATTAAGTAATGGCGACTAATAGAAATGATTAAAAATATAATTTAGCATTATATGAATTTAACAGTATATGCATTTTCTTCCTTTGAAATATTAGCATCACTAAATAAATAATTATTATATTTATATATAATTTTTTAAATATATAATCTTACAAATACTTCTTAAAGACGTTAAAAATATATGTAAGATTTACTTAATAATTTCTATATATTTGTAAGTGATGAAAATTAATCGAAGGATCATTTTGACCCAAGTTAAACTAATGCATTTGTATTTTATTTATCTAACACTATTCTGTTTTCACTTAATCTGACTATTGTCGCTGGTCGAATAGAACCCGTTTTGAAGATCGAGTATCAATAAAGAAGAACAAGAAGAAGTCGGCTGAGAGATATACCGTTGCGACCGGATCGGACACCAGGTCGGTGGCAACGTCAGCCACCGGGTCCGAAACACGTCTCTCCGTCACGCTAAATTAAGCAAGATTTTTTATTCCATAAAAAACACGTTTCTTCGCTGGAAAATTCGACGCAACTCTTTCCAGTTTTCAAAGCGAAAACACACCGGTGACTCATGTTCGCAACCGACCGCTTTATCTGAGATTTTTGTTGTCACACGTGCAACATGCGGCAGTCACGTTCTGGGTGTTATATCGCTGCTAATCGATAACTTAATTTCTCCGCAGAAAAACGGGTTAAGCGAGCCATAAAAAGTATTGAATATCGACTTGGGAAATGTGTCATAAGTTGTGTAAAAGCATTGAGGTGATATTTGATTGTAAAAATTCTGGAGAAATTACAAAAAGAAATAACGTCCGATTTCGAATTCTCGATAAAAAAAGATGACTCTCAAGATGTATGTAGAACGCTTTAAATATCATTAGATGCGTATCCTTGAATAGACGCGCGATATATTTAGCTTACTGCTAGTTATTTTACGAGGATCTTGTCGTTGATAACTAAATCAAGAAGAAACGTGAGTCAATCGATGCTCCACATTGTTTTTTAATCTAATGACCTGATATTTCTAAAAAGAAGATGGCTGCAAGTGCTTAAATATAACATACTAATGCATATGATCCGATTACTCCAATAATTCTAATAAAGGGATATAAATTCATTTTGTCTCTAACGATTTGTATTGTGGAACAATTATGAAAAATCATGTCCTTCAATCTTCGCATTTAAAAAAAAAATTTACGCTCAAATGTCTCTAAATGAGAACAATCAGCGATAGGAATCAGTTGATGCAATTCATTAATTATCTGTCTCTAGAAACAAAGCCGACCAACTCTTTTTGTAAAATGTCTCAACTTTGGTAACAGTAGAGAGCAAAGTGTTAGGGATTTGTGACTATAATTGCATGGTAAAATAATTATGCAATATAATTATTTGTCAATTTTGTTTGACATTTTTATTATTCTGATACTTATTTATAATTTGTTAATTATACATCTATATTTTATTGCTTTGACATACTGAAGATGACATACTGATCTTGGCCAAAACGCGTCTACGTTTTATTATTTTATATTATTAACGTAAATATTTAAAATACAAGACTTGCGCGAGAAAGATCCTGCGTGTAGCTTTTATGCTCCTTTTATTGTTTATAATCACTTTCTATACCAACACTATATATTTTTTTTATATAGAACTCTAAATATAATTATTATTACTAACACATTACAGTAATAACTGCAAAATGGAGCTTGTAACCACAATTATTTTATCATGCAATCACAAATACCAAACGCTTTTCTCTCAGGCCTAATTTTTTATTTTTTCTGGTTGACTTGTGGTTAGAGTTAACTTGGTGTTTTATCCAACGGGCTTCATCTATGATGATGTTACGGGTGAAGCCCATTGAGTGAGACATCAGCTTAACCACAAGTTAATCAGATAATGAAAAATTGGGCCTCAGTGTGGTTGATTTACAATCTTCTCGCGGAGTCGACTTCTCGAAAAAATGATGATGAAAACATTGACGAGAAAATTGTAACGAGAAGATTGGTTTGTCTTCCTAGAGACTCTTCTTTGGTACGATTGTTCGCACATACCTCGCTCGCCTGCTCGCAAGGGGAAGGCACTTTGGCGGGGAATTTCTTCGGGAGATCCTCGATGCTCGCGGCCGTACTCCCGGAATCGTCGTCCACACGTACAGAGCCAGGGATGACGCTTTCCTCACCGTCGCCGTCCTTCGACCGCTGCTCGTGTTTTGAGAGCAGCTCGCGCTGCTTCTGGAAGAACTCAGGCTCGCTGAAGCACTTCTCGAGGCTGGCGGCGCGCTGGAGGGTCGTCGGCGAGCTCGGGGTCGAGCGCGAGAATTCGAGTTCGTCTCGCAGCAGGTTCTCCGCGCTCTTGTTGCATATTCGCGGTGGGTCCTGGTCCCGGAACGTCCTGCGTTGGCTCTTCGATACCTCGCACATCGCGCGCTAACCAGAGAATGCCCTTCGTCGGGAGAAAGCCGCGCGGCGCACGTCCAGCGACATTTCACGCGTACATTTCGCAGACGAACGGCTGAAAGAACTTCCAATAATTATTTACGGATCAACGAGGAGGTGAATGTGAAGGGATACTTAAAAATAGATTTTAAAACAACGACGTTATCAAGATATATATATCTACTGCGCGATTGCAATATGGAAGAACGATTTTGCTGAAATATATCTAAAAGTTTAACTAATCTGAAAATAATTCCATTGAACTATCAAAATAATTACGTAAGAATCTCAAGCATGATGAGTAATGGCCGCGTTCAGCAGAGAAAGCAGCTTTCCAATTGTTGTGAAATTCTTGAACACGATTGATTTATAGTTTATACATTTAGATTTAGTGAGGAATTAAGAGCAGGACCAATCATGTTAAAAAATTTTACAACAATTGTAAAGCTACTTTCTCTGCTAAACGCAGCTAATAAAAAATGTTTTGACATTCTAGCAACCAATTTGAGCGTCTTACGTAACTCCATACAGTAGAAATATCTAAATTATATCATAAGGACAGTTTAAAGATATAATGTTTATATATAAAGATATTCGTATAATTAAATATTCAAGATATTTCTGCTGTGTATTATCTTAATAACTATAATAAAATTATTTTTAAATCTATATAAGTCAAATTTTTAGATACTTTCGCAAAACCATTCCTTTCACACGAGCGTTATTCAATTCGACTTCACTTTATATACGAGACACAACGTTGGCCTATTCTCGAAAACGAAACGGCTTGCGTATCGGCGAATTGTCCGACCACGTCCGGCGAATAAATCGAGCTATATGTCGAGAGCTAAATATATCTCACGCGGGGTGGGAATAACCACTCGATATCTTCTCGATCGCACTCGTTTGCGGCGTGAGAATTTTTGACATTTCCAACAGAAGGGACGCGACCGTACCAAGCAATTCGTTTATCACACGGGGGGTTGGATTATAGAGTGGACGCGTAGAATTCATCAAGGTGGATTGATGATCGTAAGTCACTCTTACTTGTTCCGTCTAATGAGATCCTTGACCTGGTTGATTCTTCGCGAGGACGCAGTCACACACTCCGCAGTTTCGCGACGTGACGCACGCAGACACCATCAGACGCGAGACTACCTCTCCGCGAGGGACGACCACCCCGCGTGCGTCATGCGGAAGGACATCTGTTGCCCCGCGACACCCCTCGGCGAGCGAGACGTTCACCCCTCTTTCTCCTCCCTTTTCCATCTCTTTCTTCCTTTCGCTTTCCGTGTCCTCCTTTCTCTCTCGCACTTACAAGGGATCGTTACGCTCATACCACGCACGCGTAATGTACAGGGTGGCGCGTGGAAAAGTGGTCTGGCGCCAATGTCGATGAAACTTGCTGCACGAAAAAAAAAATGGTTGAGTAATTTTTTCTTCACAAGACTGGTAAAAATATTCTGGACTATTTTTAATGAATTTATGATAAAATTTATTTATCTCTAAAAAAATACCGGAGGGGTGTAAGATAGTACATTATAATTACAGTAAATTCAGTCGATCTTACAGTAAAATAAATCATATTATTCTCAACTGTAAGCACGAACGACTTTCAAAATTTACTTTATGAAATGTAAAAAATATCTTACGTCTTACAGTGGCTATAAGACCAGTTTTTTTTTTACCAAAAAGTAAAATAAATTTTACATAATTGTGCGCTTATCTCTATATAAACCTGCCAATTCTATAAAATTTATTAAAATTTTAATACATATTACTTTACTTTGATTTACTATGTTCATAAGAATTTTTTAAATTTTAACATAATAAATTTAATTAAAGTTTTATGATAAAATATTCTGGAAATGTGTGATTCTAATTTCAGAAAAGTTGATACCTAAATAGACATTTTCTTTTAAATTCTAATACTACTGACAAAAATGTAAACAAATGATATATTTATCATAATATTTTTAACTTTTTTATTTTTTTTTTAAGTTTAAAAAAAATTTTTTTAATTTTTTGTACAAGTTGGAACACTTTTCAGAGATACTAAGAAAGTTGACATCTTTTCTAGAATTATATATGTAAATTCTGAAATACGTAAGATTACTCATTCAATAATTTTCAAAAAACATAAATTCTGAAGATATTTTATAAAAAATAATCTTAATAAAGTTAAAGTATAACAAATTTTTGAAAGTATCATACGATATTCGAATTTTTTTACGTCAAAGATTATTTTTATTTTTGCATGCAATTATTGATTTACAACATTTAAAATGCAAGCATCCTTGCGTAAGAGGGGCCCTTCCGAGACTCGTTTACATCACTGCTTATTCATGCAGTATCTCTCTCTTTCTCTCATGTCCCTTCCTTATCCCTCGCCCTTTATCTATTCTACTACCAACCCCTTTATTATTATCATCTTCTCTTTCTCTCTAATTATCCCGCTATTCTCTTGCCTCTCTTCTCGAGTTTCGCTCTTCGCCCTTTCATCCCCTTATCGCCCTAATTCACACTCCCTTCCTCGTCGTTTTTTTTTCCTTTTCCTTTCGTTACGCTTTCCCTTCCTTCTCAACACGATCTACCCCACAGAGAAAAAAAGAAATTCGTGGGGCTCGTCGTGAATTATACCGACAGGGGGATGCATAGGCGAGACGCCGACGCTGGCGGCGTCGCGACGCCACCTAAAATGCTCATGCGTCAATCGATCCGCGACTTCCGCCGAAGAAAGAAATTCTTTGGCGTGTCTCGACGTCTTTATTAATCGTCGAAAGTTCATCCTTCACCCTTGTCGATCTCGTTTCCTTTAAAGCCATAGAATGAAACAATTTAATGCTTATTTCGCGAATAATGAATCACGACTGATTATTCTCTCTTTTTTCTGCGCATTGATTTTGAAAATGACGTCGCGGACTGTCTGTCACCTTTTTCGATTAAATAAAAATTCTATTTATGAAATAAATAAAATTTTTGTAATTATAAAATAAAAAAAACCTGTTACATTTGTATAAAAAGAAATAATTACTTTTATTAGAGTAACATTTGTCTTGTATATAGGCTTTAAAAATCTCTCTCACGTTTGATTTCTCTTTTTTTTTGGCAATTCACGCAATGAATAGTACAAAATATATATTCCGATTTCAAGAGACAGCGGTGTAAAAAAGGATAACTGTATTGCTAAAAAAAATTTTATCTTTCTTTGAATAATTAAATGTAATAACGTTTATTGCAGAAAACGGAGCTTTATACCACTGACAACCTTCATACAACATCTAGATTATCCGGAGAACCAACACATTACTAACAGTATACATTATCGGTCTGAGTTCAACGCCATTAAGGTAAGAAGTAAGAAAGAAAGAAAACATGTTTATTTAGATATATTGGAGAAATTGTGTTACCTAAAGACACAAACTTTAAATTTTCCAAACATTAACACAGTTTAAGTCTGACTGCTTGCTTCAGTTTCCAATTGTTTAAAATTAAATTTAATTAAGCGCATGTTCAGTTTTTTTTAATTATCATCCGAAAATTCAGTTTCGTATAGAGATCTTTGTAAGTATTATCTATATTTTGTCAATTATATCGTATCTTAATTGTTTAATTCTTCGGAGCTGACGATAGATCTATATTGAACGCATTCATAAATCTCTTAGTAAAAAGTGTTAACAAATAATTAAATTTTCTTTGTTATAGCCTCAGTAGTTTTGACTAGTATTCCACCGGAGATCGACGGTTCTCCTGCCGAAGATTCTACTATCTCACCGGAGATTAATGACTAGTACCGAAATTGCCGAAATTGAAATTGTCTCGTAGTGTTTCAAAAAAAGTCATCAGATTTGGCTCTCCTGTCGGAGATTACAACAGCCTTGCCGGAGATCGTTTGCCATTATCGAAATTTATATTGCTTTTTATTGCATTCTTTAAAAAAGAAGTTGTCAGGTTTGACTCTCCTGCCTCCTTTGGAAATATTTTTCTAAAACCCGAAGAAAAATTGACACGCACACTTAAAAAAAGGTAAAGAAAAAGGTCATCAAAATTTTGAGCGATTAACCTTGGATTTAATTAAAAAGCCGAAATCTGGCTAAAAATCGGAGAGGTGACAACCGTGGTTACATTTGAAAATTCGAATTTTTTTCTTATTAAAATATATTTAGTATTTATTCTTTTGTATACAAGTTATATCATTTTGATTCCTTGAAACTGAATAGTGCCATTTAATTAACATAAATTAAATAGGTCTTACACAGATCCAGCGTTAATAACTGTGTTAGAGATTTTAGCATCAGCTCCGGAGAGTTAAGAAGTATTTGTAAAAATATTCAAAAAAGCACGCTACGAAATTCTACATTTAACTATTATTCAACATATTTATATAAGATTTCATCTCAAACAGATGGAAATCGCAAAACCAAAGTGATCTTGCGACTTCTATCTTAAAGCCGGCGGCTTTAAACACGATGTTTTTTTATCGAGTTGCTAGCTGGATTAGATTCTTGTCACTGTATTGGCCAATACTGACACTTTCAGCACTGCAGCGAATACGGTGGCAAGATTCTGATCCAGCTAGCAATCCAGCAGGAAACAAGCATCGTATGCCCCCGGCTTTACATTGTTACAATCCTTAGGTACGCCAATATAGTTCGTAACCATCTTTATTTTTTAGGTTACTATAATGAAATAGCAGATATGCCTGAAGATATTAATTTATTACAAGCTTGGTTTAGCGAAGTAGTAAACATGTATGCAAGTAGAAAAAGATCTAGAGCGGTCGCCAAAATGTACGATGAATGGAACAATGTACCTACGTTTAAAAAAATAAAAGTTAAGAAGGAAACGAAAGAATATCTCGGATTAACACAGAGGTTCGAAGAAGCAGTAAACAATGTTCTAGATGGAGCAGAAGAGGAATTGGTTGCTAAGAATTATGAACTTGATTTCGAGACACTGTGCGACGAGGTACGCCACTTCAAAAATTCTAAGGCGAAGAATTACGAGTACAATGGAACCGGAAGAATTTTCTCGTTTAAAGAGGAGTTACTGTTATTGAAGATCTTGGCCACAATTCCGCAAGCCCATTGCACATGTCAGACCTGCACGTTAGGACGACTGCCGTATTTGGCTTATCATATGGCTCGAAAGAAAAATAAGATATATCCGCGTGAGTGGGACGTAAATCAGCGAGCGGGAAAAGGATGGCTGATAAATTTCGAAATAGAATACGATTATGAGATCTTGAACTCATTCCCGGCTGTATGCAAGCTGACACAAAACAATCCGAGCGAAGTAAATGAAAAAACGGAACAAAAGACATAGAAAGATATTGTTTATCATAAATTTGCAAAGTTAATGTAGACAAACTCAAGTAAACTCAACTAAAAAGTAACATAATATCAATGTTGTAATTTCATACTAAACAATATAAGTGTAACACATACGTTACACTCTAAATTTCTTGGAGTGAAATCTCACTCGTAAGATAGTCAAAACACACTACTTTAAAAAAAGTGAAAATATTTCACTTGTGACAATTTTCGCTCTTTTTCAAAAAATGAAATATTTTCACTCTGTTAGAGTGTATATTGCATTTTATATTATGTTAATACTGTGTGCTTTTCATCTGATGACACATGTTGATGCTTGTATCATTAAATGGAAAATGCCAAGTGTGAAATTGTAATATTGGTGTTACTGTTAATAACTATAGTGTTTACTGAGGTGAATATTAATTTCTGATTTGCTTGTGAACTTAAAAAATGATTAATCAAAAGAAAAAGGATAGGTAACCATTATTTTTAATCTTAAGTTTTTCTGTATGTCATAGTATTAAGGCTAATCATCAAAATTAATCTGAGAATTTTCACTACATAAAAGTTGCATTTTATATTATCTAATATGACATAAACAAGATTTTCCACCTACGACATGGAATTCCTGAGTGTATATATGTCACTGTAATAAAATGAAAGTCTTATAACTTTATTGTTTATTATAGCTCCTCTATCTGAAAAAGTTCCTCTCAAAATGAACTTACGAATAGGAACAATGTCCATTCTTTCCGAATTATTGTCCAATTTATCATAAACTTATTTTGTAATAGCCGAAATTTGTGCTCCTCTTTGACTTGATAATCTTTAAAATTGGCGTGCCATCTTACGGTGCAATCGATAAATTGAAAGTGACCTGCTGACCTCTTGATGGGAATTCCTGGCGTCATCTTTCGACGCCTTTAGCGAACTAACTGTGTTTTGTAATCACTGAATTATCAGCATCTTCCGAGAGACGAACCTGTCGCGATTCGCGATAACCGGTAGACCTTTCAGTTTCACTACCGAACTTTTTTCCCTTTCTATTACTCCCGCGTTTATTGTCGGGATTCGAGGTATATTTTCATATTTTGAAAGTATGATGCAAGCCAGCTTTTGGAATCTAGTGACCACATCGATCAGGGTAAGTCACGCGGAAATGGATAATTTCATGCAAAATGTATTTCGCGATTTTGCTTTCGTAACATTTTGTAGGCATGCACTGTCAATATGGTCCTTGTCCTTAGTTTATTAGAGAATTGATGGTTATGCCTGCACAGATCGCTAGACCTATCTGTTAGATTTTTAGAACTCGCTGAAAAACCCTCAGAGTTTCTGTATTGTGTGCAAAAGTAGTTTCACAGATTGGTTATGTCATTTCTTTCTCTGTGTTAGTATATCACCGAATCTGTTCTTTTCAGTTTCTATGTTACACCTTCTCAAAAGAATGAAAATAAAGGTTTAGCTGAATATTAACAAAATGTGATAAACAGAACGATGATAACAGAATGACAAAAATTTTTTTAAACTATAAATTTGTTTTTTTTTTATCATATATATATATATATATACAATAAAAATAAAATATTTTCCCATCATTTTAACTTTAGAATTTATTTATTCCATGTTTACAAAATATAAATTAACCCACTGTTTCACTAAGCCCTTTTGTATATGTTTAATATATTAAATATATTTTTTTTACATATATTACATATATTTTTTTACATATATTACATATATTACATATATTTTTTCTAATTTTTAAATTATTAATTTTTTTGCCAAGTATGCTCATTGGTCATCAATTGCTATAGTATAATTTCTGTTTGTTATCAGCCAACATGCATAAAGCGTGTTCTACCAGGTCTGACGGCCACCCAACAACGCAGGTATGCTAGTACATTGGATGCGGATGTAGTGGTAATTGGGGCTGGTCCCGGTGGATATGTAGCAGCGATTAAAGCTGCACAATTAGGCATGAAGACCGTGTGCGTGGAGAAGGGTCCAACTCTGGGAGGCACGTGTCTTAATGTTGGATGCATTCCATCAAAGTCACTTTTAAACAATTCACATTATTATCACATGGCACATAGTGGGGATTTAGCAAACCGTGGAGTTGTTGGTGAGTAACTGAGTTAGACTCATTTTTACTAATGTAAATTAAGTTTAATCTTGGTTTCATCTCAATTTAATCTTGATTTACTTTTTAGTTTACTCTTAATTTATTCTTTTTCTAATTCTTAGAACTAGAAGAACATAAAAAGTAAATTAAACCGAGATTAAAGTTAATCTACATTAGAAGAAATGAACATTAGACAAATCGTTTATGAAAGATCAAACTATCATATGATAATGGATTATTCTTTGCAGTATCAAATGTTCAATTGGACCTCAACAAACTTATGGAACAGAAAACAAATGTAGTCAAAGCTTTAACCAGTGGTATAGCGGGTTTGTTTAAAAAGAACAAAATCGAGTGGGTTAAAGGTCATGGAAAAATTACAGGCAAGAACCAGGTCACTGCCTTAAAACCTGATGGATCGGTGGAATCGACTATCAACACAAAGAATATTCTGATAGCGACTGGAAGTGAAGTTACACCTTTCGCCGGCATTGAAATCGACGAGAAACAGGTCGTGTCCTCGACGGGTGCACTCTCGCTCAGTGAAGTTCCCAAGAGGCTTATTGTTATCGGAGCTGGTGTCATTGGATTGGAATTAGGCTCAGTTTGGCAGAGGTAAAGCGCTAAATTTACAATAAAGGTATCCTTTAATATAGAAAAAGATGATTATTCATTCTTGCTAAAATTATTATTTCTACAGACTGGGTTCCGATGTAACAGCCGTTGAATTCATGCCAACGATCGGTGGTATGGGTATCGACGGGGAAGTTAGTAAAACCATGCAGAAGGTACTTGCGAAACAAGGACTGAAGTTTAAACTGGGAACGAAAGTCACAGCTGCTAACAAGCGTGGCAATGAGATCTTGGTTTCCGTCGAGGATGCGAAAGACTCCAGCAAAAAGGAGGACTTGGCATGCGACGTGTTGCTAGTGTGCGTTGGCAGAAGGCCGTATACACAAAATTTAGGTTTGGAGGATATGGGTATCGAGAGGGACGAGAAAGGAAGGATACCCGTAAATAACCGATTCCAGACGGTAGTGCCTAGGTAAACTACAAAATTTAAATTATAAATTAAATGTCATTTTGCAATTTTAATTTCCTCCAATATACATATACCTTCAACGAAATATCTTATTGACCCCAAGTAACTGTTTTCATAATTAAATTCGCAGTATTTATGCTATTGGTGACTGTATTCACGGACCAATGTTGGCTCACAAAGCTGAGGACGAAGGTATAATTACAGTGGAGGGTATTACCGGAGGTAATTTTCATTTGCATTTTAAGTATTGCGTATTAGCTCATCTTATTTTAAGCCAAAGATAAGGAAAAATCAAAAAGTAAGATGAATTTATTCCTCGCATACAACGCACGTCAGCAAGCTCTGTACAACATTATTTCTCAATATAATTGCTCAGCTTTGTAATATATTTTCTGTAACGATCCATAAGTCATTCAGTCTGCGTTTTTGTCTGACCATGAAACCACATCGTTTCTTAAATACTAGATCAATAAAAATTAAACTTTTCACATTCAGTCTATAGTCCCCTACTTCTAATTTGTTTGGACCATTGAAGGAAGTCTTGCGTGACCAGTGACAAATTCCAGTTGTCTTAGAGTTTAAGAAGCGACACATATGTGGTTTTAGTGGAAGCTCTGTTTCACAAGCGGAATCAGAAGACTTGTGACACAAAATGTGTTACAAAGCTGGATTAGCTGAACGATTATATTGAGAAGTAACGGTGTATATATTTTGCTAACATATATGAGAAGAATAAATAAATTCGTTTTACTTTCTAATTTCCCCTCATACAAATATGAACTTGTTCCCTTTTTTTTCGTTCGATATGATTAAATGTGGATTATTTTGTAATGTGTAGGTGCGGTTCACATCGACTATAACTGCGTACCGAGCGTTATATACACACATCCGGAAGTGGGTTGGGTCGGCAAGACGGAAGAAGATCTAAAGAAGGAAGGCATTGATTATAAGGTCGGTAAATTCCCGTTCATGGCAAATTCCCGAGCGAAAACAAATCTCGAAACGGACGGCTTCGCCAAGGTACTCGCCGATAGCAATACAGACAAGATCCTGGGCGTACACATGATCGGACCGGCCGCGGGAGAGCTTATCAACGAAGCGGTTCTTGCGATGGAGTATGGCGCCAGTGCGGAAGACGTTGCCCGCGTATGCCATGCACATCCGGTAAGAATTTAATGTTAATTTTATTTTACATTACAACCGCTTCATGTTTTGTACATGATATCCTTGTAGGATTAATTCTCTTAACAACTAAACATTACATATTTGGAAATTTAATTTTGTGCAAAAAAATGAGTTAAAAATAATTCTTAATCTTTTTCAACAAGTCATGTTACTTATACTTGACTGTTAATTCTTGCTGAAGTTGACTCTAAGGCCGGTATTTGTAGTCAGATCTTATATTTAAAACCGTTTTAAGTACAGTCTTAAGAAGTCACTAACCAATCCGAGGGCCCCGTATTAACGTCTTAAGACATTACTTAAGAGTCTTGAAATAAGAACGGACTATGAATACCACTCTAAGTACTTGAATTGAGAGGAAATTTAAATAGAGAGAATTATTTTATCAGGCGTGAATGTATATTTTTTTTCTTTCTTTCAGACGTGCGCTGAGGCGCTCAGAGAAGCTCATCTGGCAGCCTATTTCGGCAAACCCATCAACTTTTAAGATCTTATAGAAAATAAGTGAATTGCACTTATTAGTTCATATCGTGAATGCGTTCAGCATTAAATGTGCCTGTCTCCAAACTTTACTGATAATGAAATAACTTGATCATCTTTCATGGACAGACATGTTTAAGCTCAACATGATGTATGATTTACGCGGCTCTTTTGACTTCACATCGTAGCCTGGATCTAGTCTACGTATCAACGTCGTACATCGCGTCGTATAAGGGATTACAATTGTAAATAAAAGCTGGAAGCCATTATGCGGAGGTGTAGCTTTATCTCTGCCATGTGATTATTACGAATAAATGAAAAAAATGCGGCATTATAATCTTTCGGATTCTTCGAATCCAAAAGGGGAGATAAAGAGATACAAATGTAAATATAACAGATAAGAGATAAAGAGAGTGTATGAAATTAAAACAAGCAAAAAAATTCCTAAACAAATTATTTTACAGAAAAGAAATAATTCTCATGTGTTATAGAAGAAAGAAAATTATTATTTTTTTTATTTTATCGAGAGTTATAAATTTCAAGTTGATCTTTTATATATTTTCAGAAAAAAAACAGAATATTTATTTATAATTGCAATCGTAGATATATTTTTTGCATTTTTTATAAAAATATATAAAAAATAACACACGATTCGATTATATTGTTCCAACGTTGCTTTCTTGAGATTTATTTGTATTGCTTGAAATCCCTAAAAATTTTCGCACTTATAAAATATAAATATATATTCAAGCATTAAAGAGAGAGAGAGATAGAGAGAGAAAACAAAGAGTTAAAAAAGTACAAGTAATACTAACAGACCCAAGGCCTGTAATCAAAGTGAAGAAAACTTCCAACAGTTGCAAAATAAATGTTTTGTTAAACACAGCCATTGCCATGTTCTGTGAGCAGGAGCACTGATAAGATGCTATTAAAAACTTGCGTTTAGCAGAGAAAAACTAGTGATTCTTCAATACAATTGATTTCTGCACTTAGATTCAGTAAAGAACTACAGGCAAGAATCAGTCATATTAAAGAATCATTGAGCACTTGTGCGCGCTGATCAGTTTTCTCTGCTGAACATAACCATTTTTACAGGAGTTGGCATGCCTACCATGTGCCATAATTTACTTACTCGAATTTAATGAGTGTCATGAAGTTGAAACTTCTATCTGCTCCTCAGGCAGTATTGTATTCATCGCAATACCTGGCGTAATTGCAGATTCATCAAGATCTGAGATAGTAAATAAATTATTAATATATTGTATAACGTGGCACAGTAATAAAAAATCATATATAATGATAGTAATAATACACTTGACTACTGAAGAAGCTAGTACTTGTATACCTTCGCTGATTGATGATTCTAAATTCAGCATGGGCACCGCATCAGATTTTAATTTTCTTTTCTGTGGCGGTGAGTAGCCTAAAAGGGGTCGCATCCATGAAGACTCTTTGTACGCTACTGCATCAAAATGGGCGGAACAGATACGCCCTACATGTATAAAATATGTTATTTTCATTGTACGAGTCTGTGATGTGTGTAAGCAACATAAGCAAGGATATATTAGTTTTATACGAAGATACCATTTTTAACGTCGACATTTTCTTTTCCACACGCTTCTTTCCACTTTAACATTAACGCTTTCTCTTTTGGGAAGCGATAAAAATGTACATTTCTGAATTCTTTTTTTCGATGATCATTTTTACATGTTTTTACTTGACAAGTACTCATTTTGGTCTCTCGAGCTGTCACTTCGAAATTGTTCAAAATTACCGCCGTGCAAATGTTTAAATTTGCCGCATTTGGATAGTCCGTTTCTTTATTCTCACGCGTGTCTATCCGTGAAACTGCACACAGCGCATACAATACACCATATCCCTTCCACCATGATTGAGACTGATCAGCTCGAATCTCGAATCCACCACTGTTCACCTGGTTCACCACGCTCCAATCGGCGTCTCGTTCAACTACGCTCGTTTTGTTTGGTCTTGTTGTGAAGTAGATAAATCTTACCTTCTCAATCGCGACGAATTAATTTCCTTCGGTAAATACCGAAGAGTTCGAGAGTCGAACACGGGATTTTATCACTCCTTGAAGCGAGTTAGGTAAAGGTGAAATTCCTTTCAGTTATTCTTACAGAATTTTCCTGAATCCTGATTCACCTCTACGGTAGCAGGGGATCTCCGAGGCCAAATTAAAATTTCATTCCGGGAAGAATATGAGGTATGTATCAGTATTCTTTTCAACAAACGTAAGTATATCTGTTCTCGTAGACGCTCATGAACCTTTCATTGCGTAGATAACCTCAATATGAGCTACAACAAGAAGGTGGCGTACTTCTACAACCCGGAGGTGGGCAACTTCCACTATGGACCGGGTCATCCCATGAAGCCACATCGGTTGTCAGTGATTCACAGCCTCGTGCTTAACTATGGTCTCCACAGGAAGATGCAAATTTATCGGCCGTACCGCGCCAGTACCCACGATATGTGTCGCTTCCATTCGGAGGACTATGTGGAGTTCTTGCAACGGGTCACACCACAGAATCTACAAGGATATACCAAGTACCTGAGTCACTTCAACGTGGGAGATGATTGTCCCGTGTTCGACGGTCTCTTTGATTTTTGCTCCATGTACACCGGTGCTTCATTAGACGGTGCCACCAAGTTGAACAATAATTGCTGCGACATCGCTGTCAACTGGAGTGGCGGTCTGCATCATGCCAAGAAATTTGAAGCGTCCGGCTTCTGTTATATTAACGATATCGTAATTGCTATACTAGAATTACTTAAGTACCGCGCCCGGGTGCTTTACATCGACATTGATGTACATCATGGAGATGGCGTGCAGGAAGCTTTCTACTTAACTGATCGTGTCATGACCGTGTCGTTTCACAAGTATGGCAATTATTTCTTCCCTGGCACTGGCGACATGTACGAGATTGGTGCTGAGAGCGGCCGTTATTATTCTGTAAATGTGCCATTGAAAGAAGGAATTGATGATACGTCATACATTCAGGTTTTCAAGCCTGTCATATCACATGTCATGGAGTTCTTTCAGCCGACGGCAATAGTGCTTCAATGTGGTGCCGATTCCCTTGCAAACGACCGACTCGGCTGCTTCAGTCTCAGCACAAAAGGGCATGGCGAGTGCGTTAAATTTGTGAGGGACTTGAACGTACCGTTATTGACTGTTGGTGGCGGTGGTTACACATTACGAAATGTTGCTAGATGCTGGACGTATGAAACGTCTCTGCTTGTAGACGAACAAATCAGCAATGAGCTCCCATACACAGAGTACTTGGAGTATTTCGCACCAGACTTCACCCTACATCCCGAGGTCGTAACCAGACAAGACAATGCTAACAGTAAGCAGTATCTTGAAGCAATCACGAGACATGTGTGTGACAATCTCAAAATGATTCAACATTCACCGAGCGTACAGATGCAGGACGTTCCGTGCGACGCGTTACCACCCGAAGAGGAAAGGCAACCAGAACCGGATCCGGACTCTCGACAGAATCCACAGGACACAGACAAAATTGTCGAACCAGCGAACGAGTATTACGCCGGCGATAAAGATCAAGATAAGATGGATACGAATGATTCGTGATAGAGACAGTATTATAGTTTACGAGGGCGTGCAAATGATTTCTCAATCCTTCCTATAAAGTTCAATAGATCTAGCAGAATCCAGATTTGGGAATTTATTAATTTCATGATTCAGCAAACAAAGAAACTGCCGAGATTATATCTTTTCTATGACTGATTCCAAGACAATAGATACTATTGTGCAATTATTGAATTTTTATTTTCGAAACTATTGATGTATGAAATAAGATGAATTTTAATATAAGGATGCGCGATACGCGTATCGAGATACGTTAAAAATCGTTTGGAAATCGATCTTTTGGAGACAAAGGAATGATTTTTTTTTTTTCAAAAAGATCGGTTTAAAATAGCCTTAAAAACATTTCAATATTTTGCAAAAATTTCCAGTATTTTAAAAAAATATCGATTATTTTTACACATTGATATGCATATCGACACACGTATCGCCCACCCCTAATGTAATGTATACTTTTTAAGTATGACACAAAAGTGTAAATATGAAAACTGTACAGACTGATTTGTTTATACTAATGACGAAACAAACATATTTTACTCAAATAAATTTTGCAAAGACTTGGAACAAACTTGTAAAATACACCTATATTTTAGATAATCAAGTCGTTTATTTGATATTCAGAAAAGGAAAAATTTCTTCATTAAAGAAAATGATATGCGATACGATTATTCAGGATACCTGGATCTTAAATATCCATTAGGCAAGTTTATTGTTTTACATCAGACAGCAATATCTGTATTGTCTACAATGGTACAACAACGACGGTGAGGACAATATTAATAGCGATAATAGTATAATAATAGTAATAGCAATAACGATAACGTCTGTATCTCTGTCTCGGAGCTATCTTGCTATATCACAGAGAACTTAATCTTCGCACGACACAATTGTTCCTTCTAGAGCTCTTTTTTTCCTTAACAAGAGTAGAAACGTAAAACGATTCACTTGGGGGTATGGGGTAGGAGAGGGGACGGACCTCTCCGCTTGGTAAGAGCACTAAATGCGACTAATTGCAATAAATTAGATCTCTTAAATTAAGGCGCTTTGTTCTGTACATTCGTATTTTGTAAACTCTACAAAAAGTCTCTCGAAAAATAATACACGTACAAAAATATTCGGTACGAGAGGAACGCAAATACTCGATTTCCGATTTATTTTTTGCAAGAACGGTGCAAAAGACTACGATGTAGAGGCAATGCGTGTGTACTCTTCGTGAACGCATAACGCCGAGCTTTACCTTTGAGGAACACCACGTGCGGTTATTCACGACTATTTTCGTCTGCAGAAGGTTTACTCGCAAAGCTTACAATTACTTGGCTCCGCTTTCTCATTCGACATACGAAGGATTCTTCCCAAATTCGCTTGTGCTCTACAAAGCGCATACGCCATGTATACATGTGTACGTGTACATATATATGCACATATATATATATATATATATAAAAGTTTTCAGTCTCATAGTAACGGCAATTCCATTTGGTGTTTGGTCTTCCATCGAACTCTTTGCATATACTCCAGCGGCTCGTACATTCTTCGATTCGAAACTATATACAACGCATAGAGGGGAATACAATTAGGTAGGCAGTACTGATTCAGCGATCCTTGACAAATCTTTAGAATCTTTCTTGCAGCATAGCTTCCTTCTTCATCATAAAATTTGCTTGACTAGATGCTATTGTTCTTTCTCGCTCGCCTCACAACGCCGAGCACATTCAACAGTAGCACATGCCGATTGATAGAGGCAATACAATGAAACAGCGATCAGTTACGTTTCAAAGTGCTTGTAAATGCTAGTCACATATGTCATGACTTGCTGCCAATCGGGTCGCTCGAGTTGACACATTTCACCGATGTTCTGTGGAAAGAATAATTTATATTACTTTCACAAGAGAACATATTCGTAACAGAACTAGATATATTAGAACCTTTATTCAGTCAAAGTGGATCTTGGTGCTTAATAATATTTTTTTATATAAATTTTAAATTATTTAATTCCATAAATTGTGCGCTGATTTGATTGTTGGACTTGTATTTAAACAATTACGTAAAAATATTCTTAAAATTTGCAAAAAAGTTTAACCAAATAAAGGTTTTTTTCTCTTATTCTCTTATCGGTCTATCTATATTTTAATTTATTAATAGATGTATAATTGTAAGATCGAAATATGATCTTATAAATTATTTTAATGCGTTATCGTATTATATGTTTATGTATATCTTTAGGCGTTCAAGAATAATTTGTCAGTTAACTTACCAAAGTAGTTGGTATGCCAACACTCTCGGCAGCAGAGAAGGCGATCGAGAAGTTCCGTCGCTTTTCGACCGGCGTCAACGTGTCGTATGGTACCTTTCGTGGCAGATAGGAATGCAGAATCGCGCACAACGCTAGGCCATCATTCCAGGAACTACTGAAGTTAGTTATATCAATATTACGATAGCCTATTGTTTTATTTTGACACCACTTGAGCAAGGCGTTGCGCTTGGATCCACCATTCTTGACTAAGCCACACAGGGGATCTTTACGCTCCGACAGATCGGTGACGCTATTTCGACGTACGAAGTCGATCGCCTTGGCATTCAAAGCGGCTGAATCCAACAGCTCACCCGGACTCAAAACCACAGGCGTTGACTTTGTCTCTGCACGTCAACAATCAAAGCATACGATTAGGTATCAAGAATCTCCCATTCTAAAATGCATGATTATCTTTATATGATTATCTCTTATCGTACAAACATGTTAAATTTGCAAGATTTTAACTGATAATTACCTGACACTGGTTTCTTTGTAATTGTAGATTGCGTTTTATTGTTATTTGTCGAATTCGCTGTGCAGATTAAATTGTTGATTTGTTGTTGGTCCCTGAGAGGAGCTTTCAAAGATATGATATCTGTAGTTCCAATAGAATTTAGAGACGACGTAGAACTGCTACGACTTCCAGGTCCTAAAATCAGTTATTTTCAAAATATATTAATTCGATAAAATTAAATAATATTTTATCTGTTATTTCATATCATAATCATTTCAAGTGAAGTGTCATGGGCAATGTATGATAATTGTTTATCCCTAAAATTGTGTGATCATTTACCAGCTTTAGCTTGTTTCGTGGCATTTTCGATGCTCTCGATCAGACACTTTACAGAAAGCCTTGAGTCCTGACGCGAAATGTTCGCTTTCCTACGAGCTGCGATCTCTTGTTGCACACTCGTTAGCACGGATTGTTGAGTCTCCGTCGGCGTGCTGGCCGGCCTTGTAGGCGGTTGTTGTATCACTTTTTGGTTTGCTGAAAGAATTTCCAAGTACTCATTACAGCACTCAGCAAATCACTGTATACAAATAATTCCTCGAACAAATGATAAGAAAGCATAATAAGCCATAAATGTTTGTACATAAAATAAAGCACAGGTAATCTGTAAGTAATATATACTTGAATGATTTCGAAAGTCTCCTTAATTCACGATGGAAGATGGCATGTTCATACGGATTAATTCAGTGAGGACAATACAATTTCATGATAGAAATAATAAGCGAGTATAGCGTATAAAGATATCGAGAATTCGAGAAACACAAAGAAAGCTGAGTTAACAGTTAACCAGGAAACATGAGCGACACAATGTAGGTGCTAGCAATGCGAGGATACGCCAGTCTCGTATTCTTCGCTTAGACTGAGAAATCGGGACGGACAATAGATCGAATTTTTGCGATACAAGCGAATTTCCCACATTAAGAGAGCGACTTACGGTCGCAAGATTCACTCATTTGCTGTTCCGACAGCGTCTTCAATTCCACGTCCTCTACGATCGTCTCAAATTTTTCTCTTAAGGATGACGTCCGTCCCATCGATGGGGGTTGATCCGACCCCAAGTTCGCATTACTTTGTGACACCTTAGGTTTCTCGCTCTTCGTGCGAAGATTACTTTCGGAAAAAATCGTTTTCTCGATCTGAGAATCGTCCTCGTTTGCATGTATACTACTTTGCAGGAATTTTATACGATTTAATCGATTTATTTCACTTAGATTTGATTCTTGTAACTGTTCAGTACATGCCGAAGATATGGCTTGTTTTTCTTGGTTAATGGAATATTTTGAGATCAATTCCGAAATCTCTGTTTCTTTCTCTGAAAGATTATTCAAAATTGACGTGCCTGATGAAATAACTGGAATCGATGAATGATATCTAGATTTATACTCGATTTCTGAGGGCGTTAACAACGGATATGATTTCCATCTCATTAAAGGAGCGCTTAATATATCATGAGAACTCTTTATTTTCTCCCATTCATTATTTGTATTCTTCCTTAATTTTATTTCGATATTTTTATCAGATGAGTTTGGTATTTTTGACTCTTCAAGCGTGTCAAGAATTTTTTTATCCTCTGACGTAGCATCAAGAGACATAGATTTTGTCGCAGTTTGGTCATTATTATTGCATGTTTCTCCTTCTGTTGTTTCATTTTTTACACAAGACCCTTTTGATAATAAAGATTCATGATCCTCATACTTCATTCCTTGTGATTTTTCTTCGTTTTCGTGTATTCTATGACGATTGTCAAGTTTATCTGACGATTCAGCATAATTTCTAATTTGTGATTCTGCGAGCGTTTTTGATTTCGAAGTTGTTTCACTCAAGATAGAGTCAATTATTTCGCTTGGTTTTAATTCAGGTCTTTTAAAAAACAGCTTTTGCCTTTGCTCAATCTTATCGCTTCCTTTTGACATTACACACACGGAGTCTGAAAGTGACTTTATATTCCTAAGGCTTGGATCTACATGTAGTTTTGTTGAGTTGTTCGTCTTGATCGAAGTCTCTGCTGTTGCTATTGTATTATCTAGAGATGACGGACTCGCTTCAATATTGACTAGAGAAGGCAAACTCGTGCTGACTTGCGGATTGCTGTAACTTCTCTGCAACAGCCTTCCCATTTCCGGATCGACCTCGAACTTCAGGTCATTCATCGCGCTCTCCACGCCAGAGAATATATAATCTTTTGGTACGAAGAATCGACTGTTGGAAATATTAATGCCGTACAAACCTCCATTAGCGTTTTGAATACTACGAATGTTTTTCAATAAGGAACTCTTGGCCACCGTGTTTTTATCGGATGTGTCCGCAACGGTAATGTACAGTTTCGGATAATCTTCCGCGATAATTGGAAATTTATCAGATGAATTATGAGTCTTATCAGATTCGTTTAAATAGAACTTTGACGATTCGTTGTTCGAGACTTTTAATTGTCTCGAATTTTTATTCGCTAAACGCTCGACTGCTCCATCCGTAGTGCATTTAGTATGCTGGCTGTCGATGCGATTCGTAGAACTGAATTCAATCTTCTCGCCGGAAATTAATTTGTCCTCCAATTTGATAGTTTCCTTGAGTGCTGGCGCGCCCATTGTGATAGCCAGGTTATTATTCGATAAATTGTGTCCGTTTTGATTCGCAGTATTGATGTCTTCAAGCCTCGCTTTATGTAAGTCCCAATCGCTCATCGTTGCTTTGAATAAGCTATTTCGTAACACGTGCTTTCTCGCATCGTACCGCTTCTTTAGAATCATCCGACCACGCTTTAGCAAAACACTCGCTATTTTTTCTTTATTCCCGTTAGTGACATCGAGTGTTTTGCAACTCGCTATAGTGCTATCTAGTACGCAGTCCGATTAAGGGAAAAAGGAACAATTACAAAATTAATAAAACTCTCACAAAATAGCTATGTGTATATAAAATAAATTTAAAAAAAAAAAAAAGAAAATTAATATTCGCGTTAAAATAATTTCGTTCCATTAAAAAATATCCTTTTTTCCAACTATTTACAAAAATCCTCTCGTATGTCTTCTTTTTCATAGAGTATTATGTGTTAGTATATCATCTTATATAATACATTTTTTACTGTGTTAACATTACGTCTTCATAATCCTGGACGTTCGTCTCGTATCACAATATACTATCACATAACAGTTTCTGTTTTAAGAGAAGTTCATAATTTCCGCTTGTTTACCTTTGTTAAGTTTATCAAGTTGTGCCTCCAGCGCTCTCAGTTTATCTCTCTGTGCCTTATTTTCCATGACCACGCGTTCCAACTCGCTCTGAGCTTCGGTCTTGAAGTCGTTGGCAACTCGCACAGTCATCAGCAAATCTGTCTGGAACTGCTCCCACTCCGCGCTCTCCTCCTGTCTCAGCTTACGCTCGTCAGCTAACGCGCGCTCCGACTCATACTGACGCGTTTGCGCCTCGCGCTCCCTGCGTTGTGCTTCGCTCAGCGCGGCTTTCAATTCCCGTTTATCCTCTAGGTGCCGTTGACACTGCGTCTGCAATTCCGCCAGAGAGTCTCGGACGAGCTGCAGTTCCGTGCTCACAGACAGCCGCTCATCCTTTAACTGATTCAATCTATACTCCAAATCGTCTATGGCGGATTTCGCGTTATTCCGAGCCACCTAAAATTATATATATATAAGCTACCTTCTTTATTCATTATTTACATAAATGAAAAATTTGCTTCTATATCTCTCACAGTTATAAGGAAAACCAGTCGTCATATCTATTCTACATACAAAACAAGCGTACTTTATATTCTTCCTGAAGCTGCGAATATTGATCTCTCAGTCGATCGTGGTCGCAATGTGAGCGTGCCAACTGTTCCTGCAATGCTGCTGCCTGCGTTTCGAGTGTGTCTTTCTCCCTTCTCGCCGCGTCTAATAATTCGTCCGCTTCGCTCTTATTCTCCAGCTGCCTTGATTGCTCCAACTCCTCGATTTTAGCTCGCGCGTTCTCCAACAGGGTCGCTAATCTACTGATTTCTATACTCCGATTTGCGCCTTCCTGCCTGGCTTCCGCCAATTCCATGTCCAACTGTTTTCGTTCGACATTCGCCGCGTCCACTGACGCTTCCAGTAACTCGACACATTTCGTTAGACGCTCAGTCTCTGCCGCACTAGCATCAGCAGTTGCTCTTAGATTCTTCAGTTCACTGGTCAACTCTTCCTGCTTTTGAAGTAAAGTCTCTCGTTCTTCTTGCGCACTCTGTAACCATAACAATTAATCAGTAATTGATAGCTTTAAGCTTTTACGCATAAATAAATATAAATTTAATGCACTCACTTTCAGGAGGTCTACAAGTTTCTGTTCCCTTTCTGTATTATAACCCTTAGATGCTTCCTGTGGTTGTTCCTCTCTTAAAAGTAATCCCTGTAAGGTGTCAACCTTGGAACGAGAGTCTTCTAGCTTCTCTGTCTGACGGCACAGTGATTCCAAAAGAACTCCTTTCTCCTCGGTTAGCCTTTCATTATCTGCTTGCAATTCTGTCAGTTGTGCCTGCATAATTAATGTTAATTCATTAAAGGATTCTTCTCATCTCCATGCAATGTCTTTTTCGATATCAACAGATAAGAGTCGTACCTGCAAGTCACTTAATTCCTGAATAGTTGCCTGCAATTCTTCGTTTGTGGAATAATGCGTTTCCTCCATTTGTAAGATCCTATCCTGCAAGCACGCAACCGAAACCTCAGACATTGAGCTGGAGGAGTGCTTGTCCCAGTCCGGCGTGGTGCACTGAGCTCCTTCCTGAGGTGTACTGGTGTTGTGTGCAGATCCATCGTCCTGGGGAATGGCGATAGAGGCTGGTGCGGAGTTGTGGAGTCTCGAGGCATCTAGCAACAGTTGCTGTTTCTCTGAATCTGACAGTGGAGAGTGTGCCACGTCCCTGAGACGAACACGAAGAGCCTCGTTCTCTTCAGTAAGACGTTCTAGCTCCAGACTATGCTGCTCCTGTTCATCAAAGCAACAAATATATGCAAACCATTGCTCGACAACTCGTATGAAAATGACAGAATAGAACAATTTTAAGATACAAATGCAATATCTCAAGCAAAATCAAGTTCTAATGTGTCTACACCAAAACAATATCTCTGTCCACTATCGTAATTATTTAATTACAGCTGTAAACCAACGTTTAACAGTTGGTCTTTTTGCAAATAGGGGCTACAATATTCTCATGTGACACTCAGGGAAAAAAAGGCTCATAAAAAGCGTCGAAAAACAATGGTAAAAGCGACGACGACGTTCGCGATCATAACATTCGTGGCCTCGCCTCTGTTGGGAAAAATATATAAGAAACGACGCCGCGAGAAACGACGCCTCGTAAATATTAAGCGCCGAGGGGCCGGAGGGGGAGGAGACACGGAACCAATCCGGATTCGAGGTTAGAGTCAAATGACGTGCGAGCATTCTACGAGGACGATACGCGCCGGTAGAGTCGGAACGTCGGAACTCGCGGTTCACACGGCGATCGCGACAGCTCACAGCTCTACTCCGGGACGGGCGAGGGATTTACCGTAGGCGACGAGAAGCAACGCTTTTTCATATCGAATCCGCTCGGCCTCCCCGGCTCTCTTCCTGCGTAAACATCCCCGCCGCGCTCTACGCCCTCTGGCTTAGTTTTCGAGCATGCAAAAACGACTCTTCGTGCCCTTTCTCTTCTCTCTCTCTTCCTCGCCTCCTCCCATCTCTCTGTCACTCTCTAATGTTCTAACGGTTACGTCGGTTACACGAGCCCGAGACTGAAACCGGTATAATTTCCGCCGAGTTCAGATTGGTTCAGATTCCTGACGCTGTGGCCGGCCAAAAATGATCCCTGCGGTCGCTCCCAATGACGGGAACGCGGATTCATTGAATTGCGAATTTTCCGTTTGTCCGCAGCGTCAAAAATGCAATTCGCGTTGCGTTCATTGTGTTAACAGAAAGGGTTCTACAATCGTCCTAGCAACGATCATTGGGGAGGGGAATCACACAGGAGGGTGCCTCCTGCGGAACAGTTTTGTAGTCTTTGCAAGAATATAATAGCTGCAGATTTTTACGTATTCACGTGATTAGCACCAAAAGGAGGGTCGGTTGGCGAAAAAATGTAAAGATTTGCAGTAAAAGAAAACTGGTATAATGGAATCATTTATTTTATTTTCGTGCAGTGTTAACAGTTTGTAGAAATTTCGTTCGTAGAATATTTTAGCAAGGATTCTTCGAGGAACTTTTTGGAGTCGATATTTTGTTTAGAAAAATTTTTAGGATTAAAAATAAAAGATTTTTTATGGATTAAATTGTAGACGAGAAAAGTGCGATTTTCTTAACAGAAAATTGTTTGAAACTTGGATATCAAAAATAAGTAACATCAGATGTTAAAAATAATTTGAATACATTTTAGAGGAACTCCAGAGATGTAAAAATTGATCGCGTCAAATATGCAAATTATTCGAACATTCTTAGCATTTAAATTTTAAATGGTAAATGATATACTGTTTAGAGTGAGATTCCATTCCAATGAATTTAGATGTTACTGATATTAGCGATGTAGCTTTTATTAATATTAGATGGGAAACTGAAAGAATAATTCGAATAAATTTGGGAAGGACTATCGACTCAGAATTGAGATATAAAAACCAATTGCATCAAATACGTAAACTTTTGGAACATTCTGTAGCATTTAAATGCTAGCGATTTGATGTATTCTTTAAAACTTTTGAAATAAATTGTCACTCTGAAGAGTGAAATTTCACTCTTAAAAATTAAAAATTGAACTACCCTTTTTCAAGATTACCTTAATTTTTTAGTTTTTTTAGAGTGAGATTCCAAATTTAGAGATTAGCGACGTAGCTTTTACTAATATTAGGTGTGGGAAAATTGGAAGAACAATTCAAATAAATTTGGGAGGACCCATTGACTCAGAATTAATCGAGATATAAAAACCAATTGCACCAGGAACGTAAATACTTGGAACATCCTGTAGCATAAAATCATAATAGCGAGATATCTTTTACTGGATCGATCTATTTAACCGCAATTTAGATGCAAAGCGGATATTTTTACAGTCGACTGGTCGTCCTCGACCGTGCCTTACGTCTTCCTTGTATGGTCGCGAAAACGCGAGAGGGAGGGATCCAGGTATGCACGTGTGTAAGGGACACGCTATGACATAAAGGGGGAAGGAAAGAAATTAATGCGGAACGTCAACTGCAGATGAATCAGAGCGGCGCTACAACGCGGTATAATTCATTCATCGAGCGTATTTTGCGACGCACTCGCTAAATGCGCTTTGCATTCCACACATTATTATTTCTCAACCGACAGAAATGGAGTATCGACGATACATGCGTTTCAATTGCTTGAAGATAATATTTTCCTCGAGTAAAGCAACTACAAATAATTAATAGGCTGAATTTTAAAAGGGCAATTACGTCAAATTGGTTTAATTCTGGCAAATTGTTTGGAAAAAACAATCAACTTTTATCTAAAATATTCTATGTATCTATTCTATTATAATTCGAAACTCAAAGAAAAATGTAGTGATGGCAACTATAAAGGTGATAACTATACAAGTTTTATATGTAGAACTAAAGTACATAGTTGAATAAACACAATATGGTTGCAATAGCTGTAAAATAGTTTATTCAACTATAAAGTATACTCCTTGATACATTCAGAAAGAACAATTTTACTAAAATATTTAAAAAAAAGTAGCTAAATAGATTTAAAAATAATTTAGCTATAAAGGTTTGAAAATAATTTTACTGACCTATAAAAAAATAAGATAATACTCAAACTGGTTACTAGAATGTCAAATATTTTGCAGCATTGCTCATGCTCGAGATTCTTATGTAATTCTTTTGATGGTCCAACAAAATTATTTTCAGATTTGTATTTAAATTTTTGGATACTTCAGCAAAATCGTTTTTTCCCCGTCCATTAATTCTACATATATATATATCTTGTATAGTTGTCATCTTTATATATTGTTGCATATTATATCTTTTTCTCTGAGGAAAGAAGATGATGCAGATGAATTTTAATAGAGAAAGATATTACAAGTATCAAAATTTTTTTTATTTAAAAAGTCAGAGCACTTTATGCACATCGTATAAAATAACCAATAAGAAATTCCGCCTCTTGCATATAAAAATAACCGTGTCCAAAATAGCATGCTAAAGTAGATTTCAGTCGAGCAGTGCGAAATGAGGAGAAGGACAAACGCGAGATATTATTATAGAATAATATTGAATCATATGGAGGATGTCCGTGACAACACGTTTTTATTTATATCAGTTGACTTTTCGCTTCTGATAAGGAAAGAACCTCTTTAAAGCCTTTTGCCTTCGAGACGATTTTAACTGCCGTTGACCTACTTAAATGTGGAATCATGAAGATGAGAGAATACGAGAACAAAATAAAATTATTGGTATTTAGATGTTCCATATTACGTTGCATAAGAAAAATGATGCTTGAAAAATAATGATCAGTTTTAATTTTTATGAAATATGATACAAAGACATCGAAAGGAATAATTAAAAAGTAATTAAGAGAATAATCAGGATAACGTAAAATATATATCAAAAATATATTTTGTAAAGTCTAAAATATAAAAATCGTGCGATTGACCTTTTTGAATAGTTGCTAATTCGATTTAATCCAATATAAAAATAAACATTCTTCTTTTTAAATAAATCAATATTATTTAGATATTTTGATATTGAGACAAAAATACAACCGTAATATTATATAAATAATAGACATACAAATTTGAATGTAGTAAAGCTTCTCAAAGAAATCACAAATCAGCGGAAACATCAAATACGACTTTTATGAATAATCGTCATGCAACTTGCAGATATCAGGGAAAAAATAATTTTGCTGAAGTATCTAAAAACTTAGATACAGATCTGAAAATAATTTTATTGGACTATACTAAAATAATTATATAGGATGCTCAAACTGGTTGTTAGAATTCAAAACTTTTTGCAGCATTGTACATCTTGAGTTTACATAGTTTTTTGTAAGTTGTTTGAATTTGTGTGACGAATCATCCATTAAAATCTTTTAGAGTACTTAATATTCATCAATCCGAATAAGTGCGAGAGCATAAAGTGCTTGAAAATAATACTATAAATCTATGCGTTATCTTGCATAACGCATAACATATAACGTATAATGCATAAGAAAATTAACTGATCGAAATCCTTCATTTCTTTACTTTTTATGAAGACTCTGTCTTGTTTGTTGATTTTTTTACATTTTATATATTATGCATTATGTAAAGATCTGTGCTCCGGCCATAACAGTCGCTCCCATTAGAAATTATAGGTCTGTTTTCTGTGGCTGAACTAGTGTACACTTTTGGAACTAAAAGTGAGATAGATATACGTTTGATATTTGTTTAAAGCGAAAAAGAGAGTTCTAGAACAGTATAGTGCAGGAACAGAAAACAGACCATATTTGTCGATTTGATTTTTCAGATGCTTACCTTGAGAGTAGTCAACTCGACACGCAGTTCACGCAGCTTCTGACCATCAGAAACCGCGTCACGCAGATTCGCTTCGAGACGCGCGCGATCCTTACGCAGAGCCTCGACCTCGCGCTCCAACTCCTGCATCCTGGAGGCCTTGGCAGGGCCCTTTGACGCTGTCGTTGCCTTGGACCTGGCCGGCTCCTTGCCCAGGGAGCCGGCCCAGCTGTTTCCAGTCGGTGAAACGTCGCTCTTTGCCTCCAACGAGGAGGCGCTCGGCGCCTGGCACAGCGACGCCGATTGCTGCTGTTGCTGTTGCTGCGCCGATTGCTGCTGGCTGGGCTGTCCTCTGCGAAACAGCGATTTTAACCTCATCATGGTCACTCGACTGATCACCGCGTAATTCAAACAATCCTGTTTCTCGTGGCGAGAAAAACACTCCGGGGAGAGTTCAAGAGAGGAGAGGAAAGTGCGAAACGGAATGACTTTCTTTTACGAGCCGAGTTTTGTCGACGAGAAGTCCTACGATCTGGAACGACCCTTGCCGTCAACGAACGATGACATCGTCGACCGTTCTCGTTAACGGTTTTAATTTTTTAAACGTTTCCAGAACTCGGACGAAGAGGAAAATCGCGGCACGACTGTCATCCTGTTGTCTTTCTCCTTCGATTACGACGTAATGAATGTAATTCGTCCCTAGGTCACGGATACGAGTTCCTGGCGACTATCGCGAGCGCGGGGGCGTTCGATAGACAGTCCTGTCTCCTGATTAGATTCCCTGGAAGGACGCGATGTGTCGGCGTGCGATGAAACGACTAAATGCACGTACGCTGCCAGGGATGTCAATTCCTTTTTAAAAATATTCCTTAAATCGATATATAGTTCTCCGATGTCACATTTACGTAAAAAAACAGAAGATTTAGATCACTTCCACAACGAGATTCTTTCGAATTTAAAATGCACTCCGACTTAGAACTCTTATTGTTAATCTTATAGGGATTATTTAATCCATATTTATATGAATCGCGATAACGTGAATAGAAACAGAAGATTTAAATTAGCACTTCCGCAACGAGATCTCTTCGAATGCACTTTGACAATCCACAGAACTCTTATTGTCGATTAACACAATCATTTAATCTATATCTATCGAAAAATAGAAAATCTAAATTATCACTTCCGCAATGAGATTCCTTCGAATTCAGAATGCACTCTGATAGTCTATATACTTAAAACTTTTATTGTCGTCGATCCACATAGAGATCACTTAATCCATACGATTGGTATCACTTTGAGGACAATTGCAAAATCGGAGTACTTCAGTCTCGAAACTACTTCACGCTCAAAAGCGATCCATTATCAATTTAAAAAAGAAAAAGCAAATAATTTATACTTCTACAATTAGTTTCTCTAAAGAGCAATTCTGAAATTTAAGAGTTCCTCGACCGCGTATAAAGTCCCGAATTTCAACACGTTTGAGAGCACGGAATCATCAACTGATCATTCAGTCATTTCCGTGAAGGTTATTAAATCTGCGACTGAATCCACAGACAGTCGACTTGAGCTGCGTCAATTCTCACGAGCGCAGGTAGAAAAACTTTTATTCTCGCTAAAGAACAGTTTCCAGGTTACTCGACCTACGCGTCAAGCATCAGAGCACATTAATCATATTCCCAAGTCCATCGCGCGACATCGGTCCCACCTCGGAACGCATCCAGGTGCGTCTTCCAATGCGTAGAGCCTTCAGCGCGTTTCGTCGCACAAGGACCGTCGCTTCGGCAATTTCACCGAGCAGCATCTTCGCGTTTCAGGCCACGGTGACTGTTGGTACGAGGCCCCAGGAGCCGGCTTTCTCTCGTTATCCTTCCGTTTCAGGACGCGCCGATGGCGACGGCGACGTTACACGACACGGACAAGCGATCGCCGCATCGTGTGGCGCGTACTCGCCGAGAAATTCCGATATTCGTGCGTGAAGCGAGCGGCCTCGAGCCACTTTCTTCCTCGATCCACCGAAGAATCCTCACAGCTTCCTCCTCCTCTTCTCCTTTGAGGATCCCCTGTCGTCGAGAGAAACGAGGCGATCCCGGTGACCGACGACGTTGCGTGGCGACCACTTGTTGCTCTTGGATTCGGCCAACGACCGACGAGATGTGCACGCCGCGGAAGGACGGCCGAGTGTCCTTGCGGTGGCGCGGGCCTCTCAAGGATCCCCAAGGACGACGCTCGTGCGAGTCGAGGACGGTCGACGAGACGTTCCTCGAGAACGATTGGAATTCAACGAAGCGAGGGGAGTCGTCGTTTCTCTTTTACAAATGTTTCTTGGATAATATTTTTGCTGCTATTAATTGTATTAATAATTTTCGGTGAAATCACGACGATGTTCCGAACGACGCTTGAGGAATTTCTCGATAAGAATTCAATTCAATCGGTTGTGGAGCACCAGCGACGACGCATACCGCACGACGGTGTATCGAGTACTGAATACACGAGCCGACAATCGTCCCCTCCCGTATAATTCTACCACGTCCCGCTTCTCTCCTTTCCTCTCTCAAGTCGTGAGTTGCAACCAAGGCTTTTCTTAGGTGGCCGCCTCGCCGGACTATACGAAGGGCCAACGAGTTGTAAATGCAGCCAGAGGTCGTACTTGGACCGTCGCATTCGTCGGCCATTGAGGAATTCTTCTCGTCGCGAATTCCCTCGTAATCCGCGCGTCGCCTTTTAAAGAGCGCAATTGCGGACCACTTGCGGAATAGGCTTGTCCCCAGATCGAGAGATTATAGACGCACGTGGGATGCGTGAAATTCAAATGTAATAACACTGGATAGTGTCACAAATTAAGCCACACGTGGCTATAACGTAAATCTTTGATGTCCATTTTTACCAATGTAGATTAACTTACCTTTTTCTTGTTCTACACGAAAACGAATTTTGTCGAAGTATCTAAAAATTTATAGCTAGATACAGATTTAAAAATAATTTTGTTGGACTATCAAACTAATTATGTAGGATACTCAAACTGGTTACTAGAATGTCAAAATTTTTTGCAACATTGCTCATCCTGTTTAAGTTTCCTACATAATTATTTTGATGGTCCAATAAAATTCTTTTCAGATCTTATTTACTTAAATTTTGAGATATCTCAGAGTAATCGTGATAACCAAAAATAGATAACAAAATTAAACTGAGATTAAAGTTACTCTACATTAATAGAAATGAACATGAAACAAACACAGAACGGTTTTGCTGAACTTTAAAAATTTAAGTAGACACATCTGAATTAATTTTATTAGACTATCAAAATAATTATATGCAGGACGCTCAAGTGGATTGTTAGAATGTCAAAAACTTTTTGCAGCATTGCTCGTCATGCTTGAGTTTCCTTTATACTTATTTTCATGGTCCAGCAAAATTATATTCAGATTTGTATCTATCTAAGTTTTTACATACTTCAGCAAAGTCGTTTTTTCTGTGTATACGTACTAGTTTGCATATTCTTACATTTAACGATAGAGTTTCGTATAGAATATACAGACTAAAATTTTGACGAATAGATCTTCCCTGAATACTGAAAAATTTACGCATCACTTATCGCACCAAATTCTCATCATCAATTATATCTTTAATTTATTATTTACATTATCGAGTCATTAAACAATTATCTCTTTGCCAAATAAATTCTTTTTTCTTCAGAATATTTTTAGTCGCGTTTTTTACGGTTTCTGGAAAATTCAATGCCTTATATTGAATTGTTAACTCTCAGTCTGAAAATTTTTTAAATCTTGCGCTTCATAATTTACATGCTATTGCACGCAATAAACGACAGTAAGACGTAAGCAGTAAGCGAATCGACCAACCACAATAGAACGTAACGTAAGCAGTAATAAATCCGAAATGTTGATTTAATTGTTTATTGCTTACGTCCTACTACTTAAGTTTTTTGTATATATACACGGAGAGAATTTTCTTTTAAAATTTACCCTGAAAATATGGTGATTGTGATACAATACAATATTTTAAAGATTTTTACCATGCACTTCAGTAAAATTGATCAAACTTATTTTATACTTTGTTGTAGTTTTATTAATGAATGAGAGAGATTTATATTAAAATTCTTCGAAATACAAAAAAATGTTGTCCCACGACTGTCATATTTTCAGGGTAAATTCTAAGAAAAAATTCTCTCCGTGACCATATCTTTAACGAGACCAACGTCTTAAGTAAATGCATTTGCGAAATGTCAATTAGCAGATTCGTTAAACTAATCGCCAACACCATGTGAGCTGTGTGCGCACACAATATGAAGAAAGGGTTAGAGGTACGAGCCGATCGTAGCAATCGCGGATTAGCAATCTCCGAGTGGCTGCTATACATGGTCGATTGCCCTTTGACGCTCTTCGATCACTCGGAATCGCGTCGATTTTCGATCAAAGAAGAAGGAGAGTGGGAGAGATAATTGCCCGGGTAGGCTGGTGGGACGAGAGGGATAGCCGTCGAACTCTTGGGAACGGGTACGCGCCTCGTCGCCGTCGAGGATGGCACGATATCGGGGAAGGAAAGAGAAGGGAAGAGAGAAGCGGAGGAGCTGCTTAAGGAGGCCACACGGAATCCGCAGACGTCTCACCGGTCGACCAGTTTTCTCATACGGTCGACATATGGTATGTACCCGGTGGCCGAAAGGTCTTCTTGCCTTCGCAATGCAAGACGTGAGGTAGATAAATCTTTTCTTGTCATTCTATAGCTACATTCCTCATTATTTGCAGACTAAATCAAGGTTGTGATGAATCCTTATTTTTCAAATTTCATAACTCTTCTCTGATTTGCAGATAAAATTTCCAGGTAATTTTCCCTGACTTTCAATAATGAAATTTTTTTATATATCCGTTCTGATTTGGAAACCGTTAAATATTTTGTTAAGAGATCAATTTAACACAGCAATATAAATTACTATCAATGCTGCTGACATTGCTTGCATTTTTAATTGTTAAGTTGATGATATTCCAAAATACAAAACAGCTACTGCGTAAGTGTGATGTATGTATATTAAACTTCTTTAAAGCCAAGAATTTTTATTTTCTAGGAAATTTTGCAAAATTCCCTGACTTTTTCTTAATTTTCTCGATCGTTTTCAATTTCCTTGTCAATTCCTTGATTTTTCTGATTTCCAGTTTTGTATTCTGTAGATGCAGACATCTCAATTTAATCAATCTGTTTCCCAAACCTAACACTAAAATAAAAATATCTAAATTTACATGCTTTATGCATTTGTATTATCCACGTAGGCAATGTAGTTTCGCCTCGATGAGTACTCGTAACTGTATCTAGACGAGGAGAACAAAGAAATTTTTTATT